CTTGTACATGAGCTTCATGCCGCGCAGGGCGCTCATGGCCTGGATGAAGCCGGCGTACTCGCAGTACTGCACGTAGGCCTCGAAGTTCAGGTGGCCCCCGAAGCTGAAGGTGTGGAAGTTGCGCCCCGTCATCTCCTCGCGGTAGGGGTCCAGCATGGGGATGTCCACGTTGCGGATCGCCCCGAACCTCTCGAACACGCGGACCAGCACGTCCTCGCTGGGCTTCTCAGCGCCCGCCTCCCGCCGCGCGAACCACTTGCAGGGCAGCCCCTCCAGGTGGATGGTGTCGGGCCGCTCGCCGGGCAGCGTCTCGTTCATGTCCTTGGCGTCGCGGAAGAAGGAGTCCCAGTCGTGGCGGGTGGGGAAGTCGATCTTGAACTCGGCGGCCCGCACCTTGAGGATGTCGGAGAAGCCGCTGAGCTTGATGGTCTTGCCGTCCAGGCAGGCCAGGAAGGCCCTGACCATGCTGCGGTTCTCCACCTCGCCCTCGAAGCGGATGAAGTCCATGGTGCTCTTGGAGATGCGCAGCGTGGAGAACTGGTGGTGGTGCACCATGCCCTTCAGCCGCTCCATCACCTCCCAGTTGGAGATGGACTTGCCCGGCTGCTTCAGCTGCGGGAGGGCCACGCTGATGGTCATCTTGGTGATGGGCTTCAGGTAGAGGCCGTACGCGGGGCACAGCTCCACCGCCTCCGACGTGTCGTGCACGATGGTGGCCGCGGCCATAGCCGCCCGGGACCTGGGGCCTGAAATGGACAAAGTGGTCAGTTTTCTGTGTGTGTGTCTGTGTGTTTTAATATATATTTTTATTGATTTCAGAGAGGAAGGGAGAGGGAGGGTGAGAGGAACATCCATGATGAGAGAGAAGCACGGACCGGCTGCCTCCTGCACGCGCCCCACTGGGGATCCAGCCTGCAACCCGGGCAGGTGCCCTTGACTGGGAATCGAACCCAGGACCCTTCAGGCCACAGCCCATGCTCTATCCACGGAGCCACACTGGCTAGGGCCAGAGCGGTCAGCTCGGGAGGCCAGGGAGAACCAAGACCGCTTCTCCAGCTTGTCCGAGGAAGGGTGTGGACCTCAGCAAGGGCCCTCCGCACCGGAGATGGCTCTGTCCGTAAGTCATCAGGTTACTCGAAGGGGAAAAACCTGCACTGCTACTAAAAACAGCCCGGCGTCCGCGCCTCCGTCCGCGCTGACCTGGGCCCAGGACCTGAGGCAGCCGTCCCGGGGCCAGCTCCCCGCCCTCCGTGCAGCCAGGAGCGGGCAGAGAAGCGAGAGCCGCCTCGCTCCCCGGAAGGTGCTGGAAACCTGCTGGAGAAGGGACTCAGCTGGGCTCCGGGCCCCTGGGAGGGTGCGGGGGAGGCCGCCTGGCGTTGGCTTCGATGAAACAGAAGTTTCCTGCTGATAAAACCGCCTCGCTCGCCCCGGCCGGTTTGGCTCAGCGGATAAGAGCGACGGCCGGAGCCGTGGACAGAAGGGTCCCGGGTTCTATTCCCGTCAAGGGTCAAGGGTCAAGGGCATGTACCCTGGTTGCAGGCTCGATGCCCAGCCCTGGTCTGGGGCATGCGGGAGGCAACCCATCGATGTCTCCCTCTCACGTCGATGTTTCTGTCTGTCTCTTCCCCTCCCTCCCACTCTCTCTAAAAATCAATGGAAAAATATCCTCGGGTGAGGATTAACCAAAAAAACAAACAAAAAAGCCCTGGCTAGTGTGGCTCAGTGGATAGAGCGTCTGCATGCGGACTGAAGGGTCCTGGGTTCGAATCCGTCAGGGCACCTGCCCGGGTTGCGGCTCGATCCCCAGTAGGGGGTGTGGGGGAGGCAGCCGGTCCATGATTCTCTCTCCTCATGGATGTGTCTCTCTTCTCCCCTGTCCCTTCCGCTCTGAAATCAATAAAAACATTTTTAAAAACAACAACAAAATGAAGAAAAGAAACACACAACCTCCCTCTGGCCCAAGTTCCCGCTGAGGAGCCCGCCCGCTGGGCCCCTCCTCCCCACCCGCTGGGGGCGCCCTCCCCGC